ATGAATGGAGACGAGAGATGAGTGTAGACGAGAGATGAATGGAGACGAGAGATGAATGGAGACGAGTGATGAATGTAGACGAGTGATATCTGCACCAATGAACCTCAAGGACTCGGAATGTTGAAGAAGACGACTGTTCTGTACTAAATAATGTAAAGTAAAAGTTTAGTGTACATTTGACGTTGTGAATGTTTTTTTTAACCTGTTTTACCTGTACTATATATATATATATATATATATATATATATATGACCATATACCTGTTTAACCATACATATGTGACCACATGCCTGTTTACTCGTGCACGTGTATGCCACCATAGCTGTTTATCTGCCTGCCAAGAGTAGGCACACCAGTTGATGTGGGTTCAGGGTTTGAGTATTACATCAGGTACTGAGGTTGGTGCATGTTCAGTACCTACTGTGATATTCTGACTTTCCACTCACCTGTCTGCACGTTCATCAGTGTTATGGCTCGTGTGTTGTTGGACTCATGCACTTTCGTCAATGTTATATCTCCTGTTTTGTTTAAGTCCTGTGTCTCTCTACACTTTTATCATACACGTGGCTTGTGTGTTGTTGGAGTCCTTGCACATTAATCAGTGTCATGGTTCATGTGTGTTGTTGGATTACTGCACATTCATCAGTGTCATGGTTCATGTGTGTTGTCGGATTCCTGCACATTCATCAGTGTCATGGTTTATGTGTGTTGTCGGATTCCTGCACATTCATCAGTCTCATGGTTTATGTGTGTTGTTGGATTCCTGCACATTCATCAGTGTCATGGTTCATGTGTGTTGTTGGATTCCTGCACATTCATCAGTGTCATGGTTCCTGTGTGTTGTTGGATTCCTGCACATTCATCAGTCTCATGGTTTATGTGTGTTGTTGGATTCCTGCACATTCATCAGTGTCTTGGTTCATGTGTGTTGTTGGATTCCTGCACATTCATCAGTGTCATGGTTTATGTGTGTTGTCGGATTCCTGCACATTCATCAGTCTCATGGTTTATGTGTGTTGTTGGATTCCTGCACATTCATCAGTGTCATGGTTCATGTGTGTTGTTGGATTCCTGCACATTCATCAGTGTCATGGTTCCTGTGTTTTGTTGGATTCCTGCACATTCATCAGTCTCATGGTTTATGTGTGTTGTTGGATTCCTGCACATTCATCAGTGTCTTGGTTCATGTGTGTTGTTGGATTCCTGCACATTCATCAGTGTCATGGTTCATGTGTGTTGTTGGATTCCTGCACATTCATCAGTGTCATGGTTCATGTGTGTTGTTGGATTCCTGCACATTCATCAGTGTCTTGGTTCATGTGTGTTGTTGGATTCCTGCACATTCATCAGTGTCATGGTTCCTGTGTGTTGTTAGATTCCTGCACATTCATCAGTGTCATGGTTCCTGTGTGTTGTTGGATTTCTGCACATTCAGCAGTGTCATGGTTCATGTGTGTTGTTGGATTCCTGCACATTCATCAGTGTCATGGTTCATGTGTGTTGTTGGAGTCCTGCACTTTAATCACTGTCATGGTTCATGTTTTGTTGCTGGAGTCCTGCACATTCATCAGTGTCATGGCTCTTGTGTTGTTGGATTCCTGCACATTCATCAGTCTCATGGTTTATGTGTGTTGTTGGATTCCTGCACATTCATCAGTGTCTTGGTTCATGTGTGTTGTTGGATTCCTGCACATTCATCAGTGTCTTGGTTCATGTGTGTTGTTGGATTCCTGCACATTCATCAGTGTCTTGGTTCCTGTGTGTTGTTGGAGTCCTGCACATTCATCAGTGTCTTGGTTCATGTGTGTTGTTGGATTCCTGCACATTCATCAGTGTCTTGGTTCATGTGTGTTGTTGGATTCCTGCACATTCATCAGTGTCTTGGTTCATGTGTGTCGTTGGATTCCTGCACATTCATCAGTGTCATGGTTCATGTGTGTTGTTGGATTCCTGCACATTCATCAGTGTCTTGGTTCATGTGTGTTGTTGGATTCCTGCACATTCATCAGTGTCATGGTTCATGTGTGTTGTTGGGGTCCAGCACATTCATCAGTGTCTTGGTTCATGTGTGTTGTTGGATTCCTGCACATTCATCAGTGTCATGGTTCTTGTGTGTTGTTGGATTCCTGCACATTCAGCAGTGTCATGGTTCATGTGTGTTGTTGGATTTCTGCACATTCATCAGTGTCATGGTTCATGTGTATTGTTGGATTCCTGCACATTCATCAGTGTCATGGTTCATGTGTGTTGTTGGAGTCCTGCACTTTAATCACTGTCATGGTTCATGTGTTGTTGGAGTCCTGCACATTCATCAGTGTAATGGCTCTTGTGTTGTTGGATTCCTGCACATTCATCAGTGTCATGGTTCATGTGTGTTGTTGGAGTCCTGCACTTTAATCACTGTCATGGTTCATGTGTTGTTGGAGTCCTGCACATTCATCAGTGTAATGGCTGTGTCATGGCTCATGTGTTGTTGGATTCCTGCACATTTATCACTGTCATGGCTCGTGTTGTGTTGTTGAAGCCCTGCACATATATCAATGTGAAGGCTCGTGTGTTGATGGTCCTGCACGTTTGTCAGTGTCATGGCTAGTGTTTTATTGGAGTCCAGCACATTTATCAGTGTCATGGCATGTGTGTTGTTGGTCCTGCATGTTTGTCAGCGTTTTGGCTAGTGTTTTATTGGAGTCCAGCACATTTATCAGCGTCATGGCATGTGTGTTGTTGGAGTCCTGCACATTTATCAGCGTCATGGCATGTGTGTTGTTTCAGTCCTGCATGGTTAAAAATGTTGTTTATTTTTGTTATTTAACAGCATTTAACAGTTAGTAAAATTCAGATTTTCTCTTGCTCACATGGCATATTGAAAACAGTTTGTTGCAAATCACCTTACCTAATATATCCTGTGTGTGACATTTCGTCTGCTGCTTTATCTTCTCCTTCTCTTCTTTCTTCTCCTCTATCTTGTAATTTTTTTTTTTAAATCCAGCTTGAGAGCTGAACTGAGTTGAACCCATAACACATTTGCTTTAGGGAGATCAAATAATAGTTATACACTGGTTCCTGTAACATTAACTGGACATCTCTCAGATAATTATTTGTCATTGTTGTATGCTGAATACTGGCAGCATACGAACATGTGTTCAAGGGACTGACTTGAATATGATCTTTGCTTGAACGCTGCAACTTGCACACAGTCAGAAAAACTGAAACGATGGCGTGCCATCATATATTCAGATTTCTTTCACAAGAACGTTCAGATACACACAGCTGCACAGATAATAATGCATGCGAAGCATCATACACATGTCTAACACTGGCTAACAAGGAAATTAATGTCACAAACTCTGCTCACTCACAATACTTTAGTGGCGCTCCATTGGACAGCCTACACTAGATGTCATTGCCGCTCTTGAGCTCACCACTTCAGTGTCCAGGCTATTGGCTACCCTCACGTCAGGACTAGAAGGAAGGATAAATAGGCACCATCTAACCTCCTCAACTTGACCTCCGTTGCTATACTCGTAGCAGATACTTCACGTCAGCTGACTGGAAACTTCACAATTCTTCAGCTCCATAATGTGCACACAGCACATTAACCTGGTTGACTAAACCTACGATGACCAGCAGAACTCCCAAATTTGAGTCCGCTCAGCACACAGCTGTTGTCGACATCTATGAGGATCTTCTTCATATAGAGAACTGCTGTCTTGTTTCAATAGTGATCGTGACTGCCACATACGTTATTACCCAAGACAGGTTTTCATCACAAAGATTGCCCAGCTCTTCTTGGCTCAACTCTGCCAACTGAACTTCTCTTTCCTTGACTTCACTATCTACTGGTCCCTTGACTGGCCTATCGAGTGTTCTCGACCGTTCTCTAATCTGTCTCTGCTCAACTGAACTCAACCCCAGTGCTTGCCCTGTGAGCTCTCTGTGCAACTCACGACGCTCACAGTCATGCACGATTCTTCCTTTCTTTCCTGCATACATCTCGTGCCCAATCTCACTCAACACAAAGTAGGTATGTCAATTTACCCCCAGCTAATTGACACTTCGCGAACCCGCTGGTCATTCTGGGCCTAAGTCAACACAGAATCACAATATTGACTCAAGCCGCGCTGGCATATCCTGCTTAAATCAACAGAGAGTGAAAATACTGACTGAGGTCACCGGACATCCAGTGGACTCACAAATCAACGGGCTTGTACTACATTTGCATAATCAATGTTGAAAAACCCGAATCGACATGCAACAGTCATTAGTTCCTGTTAATTTTAACTGGACTTCTCTCAAATAATTATTAATCATTATTTGCTGTAACATTAACTGAAAATCGCTAGAATAAATGTTAGTCATTGGTTCCTGTAACATTAACCGGACATCTCTCCAATAATTATTAGTTATTGGTTCCTGTAACATTAACCGGACATCTCTTAAATAATTGTTAGTCATTGGTTCCTCTAACATTAACTGTGTACCTCTCAAATAATTATTAGTCATTGATTCCTGTAACATTAACTGTGTATCTCTTAAATAATTGTTAGTCATTGGTTCCTATAACATTAACTGTGTATCTCTCAAATAATTATTAGTCATTGATTCCTGTAACATTAACTGTGTATCTCTCAAATAATTATTAGTCATTGATTCCTGTAACATTAACTGTGTATCTCTCAAATAATTATTAGGGGAGGCATAGGAGTCACAGCCCATAGCGATGGCGGGTATGACTAGAAATCAGGCCAGTGTTAAGAAAAGTGTTCCACAGTTAAAACATGGCATTTTAGGACCAGGGTTGCATCATGCATGTTTAGTCAGCTTATTCTCAGATGCTGAGCTGTCTACAATCATTGTCTTTCATTCCCTTCCTGCTTTTTATTGCTTTATGAAACAAAATTCTTTTTTCAAAGAATCTACCTCAATGCCTGTATCATTCATGACCCTGCCATTGTGCACATACAGAAGATGAATATTTTGCTGATTTTCTTTGTCTACAGTTCAGCTACGAGAACAGGCCCTCTATGCAGCAGAGGAAGAAATTCGACAGTTAAATTCCAGCACTGAGGCCAAAGTTGATAAGTAAGCTGATAGTTGGTTGACGTAGATCTTGTTTAGCCAACATAGAGTTGAAGTTTATATTGTTGAACATAGAGTTGAAGTTTATATTGTTGAACATAGAGTTGAAGTTTATATTGTTGAACATAGAGTTGAAGTTTATATTGTTGAACATAGAGTTGAAGTTTATATTGTTGAACACAGTAGAGTTTAAATCAAGAATGTAGATATGAATTAGCTGTTGCTGAGCAAATGTAAAGTTAGGGTAAATACAGTTAAGCAGATGGATGAAGGTGATTGTCAGAATATGTATATTTAGACACAAGAATACCTGTTCAGAAACACATTAATGTGATTGAGACATGGCGGCCATATTTGCCTAGTAAAGCTGGATACAAGTCTGCATGGATACGGTGGGGTGTTCTCTCACTGAGTAGCTTATGGCCTTGGCATGCTTGTAAAAACTACACTTGAGTGCGTGCTTGCATTTTAAAAAAAATATTTTTTCAACACACTTGTAGTTCTCTGCGATAACTTTCAGTGAGGTAATAAGTGGTGACCTACATGCATGCGAGTGCTGACCCTTCCATCTTACTGAGCCATTCCCTGAGATCTTTTAGATGTCAGATCCCCTTCTCCGGGCTTAGCAGTTCAATGCCAGTTTATGTCCTGGTAGTTACTCACTCTGTTGCTTGCACTAGGGCTTCAGTTTATGTCCTGGTAGTTACTCACTCTGTTGCTTGCACTAGGGCTTCAGTTTATGTCCTGGTAGTTACTCACTCTGTTGCTTGCACTAGGGCTTCAGTTTATGTCCTGGTAGTTACTCACTCTGATGCTTGCACTAGGGCTTCAGTTTATGTCCTGGTAGTTACTCACTCTGTTGCTTGCACTAGGGCTTCAGTTTATGTCCTGGTAGTTACTCACTCTGTTGCTTGCACTAGGGCTTCAGTTTGCCACCGTGAGGTGGCTGTGTGTAGAGGAACGAACGAACGAACTTTATTTTCAAAGGGTCACAAATTGGGCACGCAGGCCCGTCTTACATTCGGCCCTTCCAGTCAACCATCTTTCACACAGCAATTGTATTTTACTAATAAAGCATGTTATGATCATATGATGATATGCATATTATGAATATTACAAAAGAACACAAGAGCATGAGTTGTAAAGTGCATGCAAAAACCCGTGCGTGCATACATACACCCACATACACACTCTCACCCACTCACTTACACACACATACATGCATACATTGCATACATACACACATACAGGCATACATACATACACACATACATACAAACAAACATGCATACACACATACACACAGGCATACATACACACAAACATACATACAAAGATACAAACATACAGGCATATATATATATACATTCATACATCAGCGTCATACAGGCATACACACATACAAACATACAGTCATAAATACAGTCATGCATGGAGACACACACATGCACACACGGACACTCCCACAGAGACACACACACTCAGACAAAAATACAGACACACACACAGACACTTACATATAAACACACACAGGGAAACACACAGCACACATATTTACATTCGTGCTCACACACTGACACACACACCACACACACACACACATACGCAGACAAACATGCAGACACATACATACAGCCACATAGACACACACACAGTTAAACACACACACACACACACAGACAAACAGGCAGACAAACCCATACTGACACCCACAGAGACAAACACGCAGAAGTGCATACACATGCAAACACATAGAAATACACACGCAGACACATATATTCAGCACGCACAGACATATACTCTGACATGCAGACACAGACAGACAACAAAGGGGCACACACAATACACACAGAGAAACACACATAGACATGCACAGACAGACAGACACATGCTGATACATACACTCACGCAGACAGACATACAGACACCCACACACAGAGATACAAACATACAGCCTCATAAGACACACCCGCAGACAAAACACATAAACATACACAGGCAAACATGAAGACAAACACATACGGGGACACACGCAGACACAAACGAAGATACACACACAGTTACATCAAATATGCAACAACAACAACAAAAAACACCGAGACACATACACATGCAAACAAGCACAGAGAGACACACACAGACACATATACAGCTACATGTATCCAATCGCACACACACACGCAGACACACATACACAGCAAAGAGGCACACTTAAACACACAGAAACACACACAGACCAATTCACACTGAAACATACACGTGGACATACATGCGAACACACACACATTCGCACACATACACAAGGACACAGACGCATTCATTTGCAGACACACACGCAGACAAACAACATACTTAGAGTCATATGTATACAAACACGCCTGCACATACATACATATCACGCACACATGCGAGCGCAAACATACATATCATACACACCTTGTTTAATAATAAATTGATAATGCAATATGAATGGCACAGTTATATCACTGTCACCAGTGATGGGAGAAACATCTACTGTTGGGACCACTACCAAAGTAAATGTAAGACTAGGTGTGAAGTATATCAGCAGATGGTTCCAGAATCATGGGAAACTATTATTCTCTTGAAACAGTAATTTTAAAATTTAAGGTGACTGCACTAACTGCCGATGATTGAGCTAATCGTGTAGGTGACTGTAGTAACCTTGTGAATCTAATTCACTACCATGTGTGCTAAATTAAACTTCCTGTCTACTTCACTAACATGTTTGCTACATTAAACTTCTGTCTACTCTACTTCACTACCATGTGTGCTACATTAAACTTCCTGTCTACTTCACTACCATGTGTGCTACATTAAACTTCCTGTCTACTTCACTGCCATGTGTACTACATTAAACTCCTGTCTACTTCACTGCCATGTGTACTACATTAAACTTCCTGTCTACTTCACTACCATGTGTGCTACATTAAACTTCCTGTCTACTTCACTGCCATGTGTACTACATTAAACTCCTGTCTACTTCACTGCCATGTGTACTACATTAAACTTCCTGTCTACTTCACTGCCATGTGTGCTACATTAAACTCCTGTCTACTTCACTGCCATGTTTGCTACATTTAACTCCTGTCTACTTCACTGCCATGTGTGCTACATTAAACTCCTGTCTACTTCACTGCCATGTTTGCTACATTAAACTTCTGTCTGCTCTACTTCACTACCATGTTTGCTACATTAAACTTCTGTCCGCTCTACTTCACTGCCATGTTCGCTACATTAAACTTCTGTGTGCTCTACTTCACTGCCATGTGTGCTACATTAAACTTCTGTCCGCTCTACTTCACTGCCATGTTCGCTACATTAAACTTCTGTCCGCTATACTTCACTGCCATGTTCGCTACATTAAACTTCTGTCTACTCTACTTCACTGCCATGTTTGCTACATTAAACTTCTGTCTACTCTACTTCACTGCCATGTGTGCTACATTAAACTTCTGTGTACTCTACTTCACTGCCATGTTTGCTACATTAAACTTCTGTCTACTCTACTTCACTGCCATGTTTGCTACATTGAACTTCTGTCTGCTCTACTTCACTGCCATGTTTGCTACATTAAACTTCTGTCTGCTCTACTTCACTGCCATGTTTGCTACATTAAACTTCTGTCTGCTCTACTTCACTACCATGTTTGCTACATTAAACTTCTGTCTACTCTACTTCACTACCATGTTTGCTACATTAAACTTCTGTCTGCTCTACTTCACTACCATGTTTGCTACATTAAACTTCTGTCTAGTCTACTTCACTACCATGTTTGCTACATTAAACTTCTGTCTACTCTACTTCACTACCATGTGTGGTACATTGAACTTCTGTCTGCTCTACTTCACTGCCATGTTCGCTACATTAAACTTCTGTCTACTCTACTTCACTGCCTTGTTTGCTACATTAAACTTCTGTCTACTCTACTTCACTGCCATGTTTGCTACATTAAACTTCTGTCTACTCTACTTCACTGCCATGTTTGCTACATTAAACTTCTGTCTGCTCTACTTCACTACCATGTGTGCTACATTAAACTTCTGTCTACTCTACTTCACTACCATGTGAGCTACATTAAACTTCTGTCTACTCTACTTCACTACCATGTGTGCTACATTAAACTTCTGTGTACTCTACTTCACTACCATGTGTGCTACATTAAACTCCTGTCTACTTCACTACCATGTGTGCTACATTAAACTCCTGTATACTTCACTGCCATGTTTGCTACATTAAACTTCTGTCTACTCTATTTGACTGCCATGTTAGCTACATTAAACTTCTGTCTACTCTACTTCACTGCCATGTTTGCTACATTAAACTTCTGTCTACTCTACTTCACTACCATGTGTGCTACATTAAATTTCTGCCTACTCTACTTCACTACCATGTGTGCTACATTGAACTTCTGTCTGCTCTACTTCACTACCATGTGAGCTACATTGAACTTCTGTCTACTCTACTTCACTACCATGTTTGCTACATTGAACTTCTGTCTACTCTACTTCACTACCATGTTTGCTACATTAAACTTCTGTCTGCTCTACTTCACTGCCATGTTTGCTACATTGAACTTCTGTCCGCTCTACTTCACTACCATGTGAGCTACATTGAACTTCTGTCTGCTCTACTTCACTACCATGTGTGCTACATTGAACTTCTGTCTACTCTACTTCACTACCATGTGTGCTACATTGAACTTCTGTCTACTCTACTTCACTACCATGTGTGCTACATTGAACTTCTGTCTACTCTACTTCACTGCCATGTGTGCTACATTGAACTTCTGTCTGCTCTACTTCACTGCCATGTTTGCTACATTAAACTTCTGTCTGCTCTACTTCACTGCCATGTGTGCTACATTGAACTTCTGTCTGCTCTACTTCACTGCCATGTGTGCTACATTGAACTTCTGTCTGCTCTACTTCACTACCATGTGTGCTACATTAAACTTCTGTCTACTCTACTTCACTGCCATGTTT